CCCCCTCCCCTCCCCCTCCCCTCCCCTTCCAGATCTTCGTCGGCGGTTTACACTACGAAACCAGAGACGCCTCTCTCCAAGCGTACTTCGAACAGTTCGGGCCCGTGCAGACGGCTGAGGTGATGTTCAATCGCGAGACCCACAAGTCTCGAGGCTTCGGGTTCGTGGTGTTCGAGTCGGAAGAATCCGCCAACGCGGTACTCCAGAGCTCCCACCACACCGTCAACGGCAAGGTGGTGGAGGTCAAACGCGCCGTTCCCCGAGCGCAGAGTAGCACAGGAGGGAGCAACCCGAGTAGCCCCGCAATGATGGGGTACCCCCCATCCCCAAGCGCGCTGGGACCTGGGATGGGTGGGGGGCCGATGAACAAGCCGGCTTCGGCTGCAGCAGCAGCAGCAGCTGTGGCGGCGGCGGCGGGGGCGAAGAGACCGCAGAGACCGCAGAGACCACGCCCCCCTCGAGATAACATGGTGGGGCCCAACAACGGTGCAGTCCCCGGAACGCCCCCTCAGCGGCCACGCTACCCACCCACAACCTCGTACGCTGCGGTGTTGCGGTTCGGCGCCGGGCGCCAGCAGCAACATCAACAGCACACGGGGAGTGTGCCGCAGCACGGGGGAGGGGGAGGGGGAGGGAAGCCGCCCCAGCACCACGGTCTCATGCAAGCGCGCGAGGAGATGGCGAGCTTCCGTCTCCACGGGTCTCACTCGAGCTTCTTGCCCCCGAGCGCGGCGGCGCGTGCGGAGGCGGCCGCCGCTCACGCGTTCGTGCAGGAGCTCAAGGCGTGGGACGTAGAGAACCCAGGACAAGGGCTTAGCTTCGAGGAGCCGCTTGACTACTACAGCGAACTGCCCCAGCCCCAGCAGCAGCAGCAGCAGCAGCAGCTTCAGCGCGGACCGTCCATGGAGTTCAACACTCGCACAGAAACGAGTGGGGCGGGTGGAAGCAATAACGGAAGCTACGGCAACGGTGTCACCGGGTCGGTCACATGGCGGCCAGGGCCAGGAAACGGGCAACCATCAGCTCAGAGGGCGGCGTGGGCACAGCACGGGCAGGCCGGCAGTACGATTAGGCAGCAGCAGCAGCAGCAGCAGCAACAGCAACAGCAGGCACACGGACCGCCAGGCGACGCGACGCGCTTACTGGCTCACAACAGCAGGGTGGAAGACGTATCTCCTCGTCACTCGGACAATTTCTCGACCTTCTCGCACCACGAGGACGGGACCGCTGCCGCTTGCCCGGACGGCATCGACACTCACACGCACCTCTCCATCTCTACCGGAGCAGCACAGAACGGCGACGGCGGCTACCACAACGGCCACGGGCAGCAGCAGCAGCAGCAGCAGCAGCAGCAGCAGCAGCAGTCGGCCGCGGCTTTGAACGAGGCTCCGAACGGCAAAATGACGAGCCCTGGCGAAGCGGGCGGCACGCCGGCGCTGATGGGGTCTTCTCCGCTGCTGGGGAGCAACGGTCTGCTGGAGACGGCGTTTGCGGACCTCAAGCTGGACGGTCCGAACCCAAACCAGAACGGCGACGGCCCATCGATGTTGAGTGGGATAGGAGGAGGTGGTCCACCCTCGGCCTCTTCCGAGGCGCTCCCTTACGGCAGAGCAGGCGGGGGCACCGCGGTGGACGGGGGGGGCGGCTCGGAAGGGTTGGCCGCCAGCAGCGTGTGGAGGGCGGATGCGTTTGGGTCCGCCCTGGGTGTGAGTGTCCCCAGGACGGTCGACGAAATAGGGTCCATGCCCATGAGCGAGAGGAAGGACATCATGGGCGTAGAGGGGCTGGGCGAGCGGTTTATGGAATCGTTCGGGACCACCGGTGCGGGGGGCGGGACGACTCACGTGAACATGGGGTGGAGTTGAATTGAAGGTGGGTGTTGCCTTCACGATTAGGCACCCGACTTTTCAGGGCTGTCTGTGTAGCGGTCTCCTGCATTCGCGCGACCTGTGTTCCTCGTTCAGGCTGTGCGTTGTTGCTTGGTTGGGATTTTCAAGAATGAGCCCCGTCGCCATCAGGACCGGAATCGATATCCTAGAACGTTGTCGGGTCATCGCGCTTGTTTTCGTGGTGGTTTTGTGTACACGGCGCTTGAACCTGATGTGCACGGGAAAAACAGACGAATGTGTCGTTTATTTCTACAAAATGTCTTCCGTTGCGGTAAGTCGAGCGTCCACTACAGATGTTGCAGAACCTTCATTGATGAGAATATCAAGCCTGCTTCCCGCCACAATCACTGACGGTGTGTCTGGGGCCGTGCCTTGCCCCTTGTTGTTGTCGCTTTACCTGTTTCGCCTCTCTAGCAGATGCGTTCATCGTGTGTGATAGGCGGCCGCAGCAGTCACATGCTGTGTTTTGCCGCCGCGATCGGACCCTGTGGCCCTAGAAAATAGAACCGCCCAACACCAACGCAGAAAAAAGGATAGCAGTGCTGCAATATCGAGGATAGACTTTCTGTAGACACTGGCCGTAGTAGCAGTTACGGAGTAATTTAGTGAGTGTGTGGAGGAGGAGAGAACGGGGTGGGTGGGAGGGGGGGCGATGACGGAGAAGGGAGAGAGACATGTAGGCTAAAGACACAGGGTCAGTCAGTGTGTAGGAATAGCAGGGAAAGTGGATGGCCAGCATCCCTTTGCCAATGGGTGCTCCGAATGCTTGTACACGGCTGGGAGCATAGCGTAGGACAAAGGCGGAAGGCAGACGTCTGTTTGACGCGCCTGAAGCCACCGACTTGCGAAAGAAATCTAGATTTGAGGTTGTAGTTCGTGCTGGTCAGCCTCGCCGATCGGCGGGTGGTGAGTTTTGTTGGCAACCGTGGGTTGCTTTGTGCAGTTCCGTCGCGTTTTTTTTCTTTCTTGTAGGTTTGTTATACTGGGATGCGCGCTTAAGATGAGTCACTTAGTGTGGTCGGTTCGGGGGGTGTTCGGGTGGAGGGTGGTATGAAAATAAGTGAGGGTTTGCCCCGTTTCTGAGGCAGCCACCGTTAGATTGTGACGAATTTTGACATTCAGAGATGGCCAGAGGTAGGCTTGATTCTTTGGTTTTTCCCCCGCTTGTAGAGCAGCACAAGAACTCCCCATGAGTCCTGCAAGCAACACGAGAAGGCCACGCCAGTTCTATCGGGAGGGGCTCCGCCGTACGGTTATTATTTACATTACATTTGTAGAGAGGGGCGCACCAGTCGGGTGCCTCATTCAGTGTGGAGAGTCGTGAATGGACGCACCCTAAAAACAATAGTTTGCGCGAGTAGTAATACCTCGCCTGGCTTGCAGACGGGTAGGGTTGGCGTGTATAGTCTATACCGTACGATATGTATCCGTTTTGTGTGTACAAATGAGGATTGCTTTGTGAGATGATTCGTAGAAGAGGGCACGTGCGTACCCTAGCTACCTAAGTCTTACGGAGAAAAAAGGGAGACCAAACGCGTGTCGGCTGTTGGTGTGTCGCCACAACGTAACATAACATAGATCGGATCCAAAGCAAGAGAACGAGAACACAAGTAACGGTGTAGGAGAGCTTGGTGGGCTCTTATGTTGTGTGTTGCCCGATGTTGTAGCCTGGCTGAGTAGGTGGCAAAAGGTAGCGTTGTAAAGAAATTGTGTTGAGCAGCACCACGTAGCCGCAGGATAATTTAACACGATATTTTGTCATGAAAATGGAGGCTTGAAAGCACCGTAGCCACTGGTGACTACAGCGTTCGGTCGGGCACAAAACGCCAATCACCGCCACACCTCCGCCGGAGAGTCCGACTACGCCGACCTCCCACTGCGAGCGCGGCACAGGCTACTGGTTCGTCGTCCTCATCGGCAGTTGATGGGCCCTCCTTGAAGCTCTGAAGCATTTGAGGGGTTTTCGTGCGGTCCTAAGAACACATATGCTGTTTGTGTGGTGTGGTGGAGAGTGTACCCAAGGTCACGCAAGTGATACGGTCGAAGCATTACCGCAACGTCAGAACAGGAAAGGTGGTCGGCAAGCAGTCCACAGCACAACTTGAGGAGCACGCCAGCGAGAAACTCAAAGCGCGAAATTCTTGTGTGTCACTCATCATGGGTCTGTTCCCTCACTGGTGTGGGTCTAATTTTTTCACGTGTGCGCATGGTCTACGGTCGTGCCGGCCGGCACCTTTTAACGCGTCAACATTCTCGACCGCCAACAACCAAGAATCGCAGACAGTCAGGCTGGCCGCCATGAACAACGGAAAAATTAACTAAAATTGGAGCAAAGAAGCCTGGAGCCAGGAGACACCACCTCTGAAAGCGGCGCAAATGCTGCCAACAGGAGCGGGAAAAGCAAATGCCACGGCGCACGCACAACGTACGAAAGGCGGACGATGGAAAATCCATTTGGGAGACATCTGAAGCACAAAGACAATCACAAAGCACACCCGCATTCATAACATACTTACAGGAACGTCCGAGAAGATATAAACAAAGACGAGTTAGAAGCGCTCGCGAGATGAGAGCAGCCCTATCCTATCCTAGTTGTGAAGGAGCTAATTATATAAGCGAACTGCCACGCTGGGAAGAAACATTGGACGCGGTTGTAGCGGTGGACGTTCCATGCATCATGACCAGGTAATACTCGGAACCTGAGCTGCGGCCAGTGCTCAATTTTGCGCATACCTCGCCGCTACCGCAAACCAACCACTTGAAGCACGCTCGAAAAATCCTCACCCAACAGACATCCTTCATGTCGCTTCGCGAGCAACGGCAAGGTAGTAAACGGTGCCGACAAGTGTTTTTCGCACGTCGTAAAATACCGAATCCAGCGTGCTGACCGAGGAAGGTGGTGACGGTACAATAATTGACATCTCGAGTGTCGGTACTAAATAACATCTTTCACGCTGACATATCGCCCCGAGACTGGGAATCATCATGTCGTCCTTGCAAGTGTGTCTTGTCGCCAACGAATTGGCAGCAGGGAGAATAAAACCAAGATTTTTACTTCTTGCCAAAAAGCGACCCGAAAGCACCCGAGTACAGCCCGCACACGGCAACAGCGCCTCCGACGATGTTTCCCAAGGTCACCGGGAGCAAGTTGGCCAAAAGGAACTGCGACCAAGTTACACCAGCACCGAGCGCCATCCCGAGAGGGATCAAGAACCTTGCAGACGGTTAGTTCCAACAGCAGGACCATACGCAGGACGACAGGCAGAATGGCATAGTTCAAGAAAAAAGTCTACGAAGGAATTTTTCAGAACTCACGATGGCCTATCATCAATCAAATATGTAGAAGGATGGTGGTCGCATTATTATTAGTGAAATAGCGCGCGCGAGCGCATACGAGAAGTAGCGACTTCTGCTACCTGGACTCACATGTTGGCAACGCTGTGGTCAAGTCCCAAAGCGACAAACGCCGAGATCGGTAGGAAAATGGCGAAGAACTTCCCGGCAGCATCGCTGGCGCTGACCGACATCCACACTGCATGGAAACAGCACGAGAGAAATTGGGGTAGCGGAGGTCGAGGAAGGGATCACATACGGCAAGCTCCGCTTGTTAACCCTGCGCGTAGCCATCGATGTCAAACTTGGCGGTCGTTGCATGCCTTCTTATCTTCAGCGTTTCTGCACGCGAAGAAACAATACTAACCCGAAGTTCGATCTGACACAGCAGTGGACTGGATGTGTACAACCACAGTTCGTTCACCTAAATCCCGGTCATGTCTTGCCGATGCGTAATCCCCGACCGCACTCACCAGCCATGCAGACGAGCCAGTTGCACAGTATCCCCCTAGCGAACGCCTGCACAAAGGTGAGAGACGTCTTGGCCGTAGCAATACCCATCGCAGATCCCGGGTTGACAACTACCCCACCTTGTACAGCCAAAAACACGAGCAAGAGCGACCTGCCGAAACGCGACGGTATGCGAGAACGCAAGGCTTTAACTGCATTGCTTGGGTGCCGGCTCCAGTAGCTACTATTTACATTCCATTCCTGTGTGGTGCAGCAGTCGTCCGAATAAAAAGCAGCCGACGGCACTGTGCCCATTTCTAATAAATAGTTGATTTTCATGATTTCATATGGTTAGTCATTCGAAAAACCTTCCGTAACCCATTGGTTGTATCTTCAAAATGGTACGTGTCTAAACATGGGAGCGCCTGTTTATGACTCGATGTTCTCCTCTCCTTTCAAGAAACACTCGAGACAACTATTTATTTATCACCAAACTCGGCACTAATAAAATTTTGTGTGTCGTCTCGGTTTTGAATCTCGCGAGACACATGAAGGCGTGGGTGGTGTGCTAGTTTTGCGCCGCTTAATTGGGGTTATTGGCTCAGCCAACAAACATTATAGCGAGAAGAAGACATGAGAGCGCGGGTGCTTTTTTTTTTCCCACGAGGACAGCAATGCGTACACATGTACACCCCCGAGCCCCCTGTCGGCTTCTTCCGGCACCCCGTTAAAACCCATGGATATTCCAGTTGGTCTGGAAGGTGCTGTCGATAGGTCAGAGTGTTTCCCGTTTGTGGTTGTGTGGAAGAGTTGATGAGCGGTAGACTGGTGGCAGGTTATCTCTTTCTGATGCGTGATCCTTGTCGCACCCTAAGCGATTCGTGTGTCCCAGCAGCGAGAGTAGACAAGACGTGACTCTTGCGTACGAAAGAAGTATGCGTGGGGCGTGAAACACGCACTCAACGCACCCGACGAAGTTGCCGAGGTAGGAGCAAACCCAATTCTTCAGCAAACCGCCGATGGAAGCCTTGCCCTCGATAACGGCCGCAGTCACCACGGCAGTGTTGCCCGTGAACAACTCGCCACCTCCAACGACAGTCATGAAAAGCCCAAACGGCAGACCTGGACATGGTTTGCATAGGTACAGCGGAATGTTCAGCGGTGAAGAAGTGAGACGCATGCCAAAAAAGGCGTAGATGCTACAGTAGTACACAATATTTGCTCTGAACGATGAAGACTCACACATGCACAACCGCTGTACCGACGAAATCAAACTGGTTTACGCTACACGGGGGGTCGGGAAAGTCATTGCTGCCTCCAACGGACAGGATGTACTCATCGTGCGATGCGCATCTACAGCAAGCAATACACGCGTGAGGAGGCGAATAGGTTGGTTGGTTTCCCAAAACTCCACCAGGTATGTCTCAAGACTGCGGGGGAACGTTTCGAAGGTCTATATGGTGCAGGAGGCAAGGCCTTTCGTTCTGCAGGTGAGTAGAGTCTTATAAGCGACGGCACAATATGGGTCGTCTTGTAAACGAAAGAGAGAGCAGCACCCGACATGGAAAAAAATTACCCGGCGTGCGGCCGTTGGGGCCCGCAAAATGAAAATTTCTGTAAGAACAGTGGGTCCAGGTTCGCACGAAAAACAAGAAAACTTAGAAACACACCTCAGCCGTCCATCCTAGACAACATCTTGTATAGAGATCCATACTCGACCGTGGCGATGGAACACGATGCTGAGCTTTGACCTTGCCGCAAACTCGACGTTGTTGACCTCCAAGTGCGGACCATTGTACAGCAGTCTGTGGTTTAAGGGTACCCAGACAAGGGATTTTGACGCTGGTTCTTTTCTCATACTTTATAACAGTACAAAGAAAGAAAACAACCTTCCCGCCGGAGGAACCTGGTCCGTTGTGCTAGTATCAGTAGAGGATATCATCAAGAGGCGTCGTGCGTGCTGGCACGTTCAGGTATACTACTGGGGCTGAAATATCGAAGGTCGCAGCAGCCTCTGAAAACGGTCCGAAATCTGCGTCGGAACCAAGCGGAACCCAACACTTGTCACAGCGGTGCTCACCACCACGGACCGCAAACCCCTCAACTGCGGGTTGTCAGCAGTAGCTGGTGGCATCAGCTACTGCTGTAAACCTGCAGTTCAGAAGGTTGGGTTCAGTGGCGGCGAGCACAAGCAGTACAAGACACTGGGTGTCGATCTAACTTGCGGAGATTTGCGGAGATTGTGGGCCACTACAACGACACTCGATACCACCACCACAGAAGAAGTTTTGAGCGCGCCAACACCCCCCCCCGCTGCTATAGGGTGTCCTCTAGTGATATTGGTACAATGAACCAGGTTCCTAGCAACACCGGCCTTATTTGAGCGCCTTCCGTTTGGGCTCTTTTGACTTGAATTTAGACTGATGTGGATTTTTATCTTGGTTTCAAAGGATGCGTGTGGAGGTAGACGCGCGAAAAGCACGTTTTGAGCGGTCTCTACTGCTGCCCTGTGCCAGAATTTTGGACTTGTTTTTTTTGCGATGCCTTCCGACTGGTCTTATGTGTCTAGTGCATTTTCTGGCGCTCTTGCGTTTGTTTTCGAAATTAGGCAACATAGCACGAGGTTGTCCGGGTACCCTTAACTGCCGAAGATATCCATGTTTGCGCGGGACTACGTGTATTCTCTCGCGAGGGACCCACCAAATGCCCCGAAAATAATCTTCTGCAGTCCCGGGTTCGTAGCTAGAAGTCCTGGGCAGTTTCCTCCGATTGACACTGCCAGCAACGCGCCAAAGCCAATGTGGCAGCCCGAAATTATGCCCATGAGGAACAGTTTCGCTACTGACCCCGACGCTTTCTTCTGCCCAATGTCGACAGCGTTCTGGTACATCTGCGGGGGAGGCTTTACCGAGGGAGCACTTGCCGCAGCTGGGACTGGCGCTGCTGTGCTACCACCGGCAACTTTGGGAGCTGCGGCAGTTGACATCTTGGAGCTCTTGGTGTTGCACTGCTGTCGCGGTGCCAAAGACGTGCTGCGGAAGGCAGCAGGTGATGCAACCGCCCTCGAGGAGGCGAGCGGCATGGCTCCGCGAGCGGACAGGAAGGCCTCCGACCCGGGGGTCAGGACTAAGGCTATCGAGAGGATCGAAGAGAAAGCCATCTTAAAGAGAGTCGTCGACGGGCCGGTATCGCGTTTGCTCTGTTTGCCGCCTGCACCTCCTAGCTCCTACGCCAGAAGCAATCTAGCACTTTCACGGCAACTCTCAGAACCAAGTTTTAGAACCAAGTTTTAAACCACGCGGCTAGATTACGGCGCCCGAACGACAATTTAACCCCGCGGCGCACCTCTTGTAGAAGTACATCATCAACTTGCTGAACCCCTCGCGACCAACTGCAATTATCTCCCCCCTCCTCTTCTGCTACTGCTGTACCTCTCGCCACGCGCGAGAATTTCTATGAGACCGGTGAGCTTGGCTGCTGCCTTCTTTGGGCCGGTCTGCGCTTTCAGATCACTGCCCTTTGTGCGTTCCCGCAATCCCGCCATGTTAGGTCCAGCGGTGAAGCGGCGCAGAGCGTCCACGTCGGTGAAGCAGGAGCCCGCATACGATGCCGGTGAGCAATGCCACCATACCACAATATCACTAGGGAGACACATAGCGGTCAAACCTCGAGCCATATGCCTGCAAAATTGCAACACTTCAGGTATGCATCCTACGTGCTGCTTTTTCTTTCGCGCCATTTTCGAGCCTCCACGGAATCAGCACGTGCTGGCGGGTGTGCATGACGACTACCACTACAGAAGCACGGCTATACAAAGTGCACATGACGTAGCACCCGAGCAAGATTGCTGCCCAAGGGAAGAATCGAAAACAGTCTCGTGCAATGCCGCAATGGTTTTTGCCGTGTTAGTTGTTCGCTGTGGCCAGATGGTTCACAACCGCAGCAGGATTGCGTAGTCTCCACGAGAAAACACAACACCCTGCCGTCGCTGCTCTCGTCTTCCTATGCCCAGCCCCTCTCACAGCCAACATCAAACAGCCGTTGGATGGGTTATGGCACGATCTGTGTGTCCCTCCGGAGGAACTGAGACCCGATAGTACCCTCACTATCGGACAATGCTTCAATTGGCGCCAGGCTGGACCTAACTGTTGGGTGGGCGTCCTGGGTCGCGAGGTCATCGCCATTAGGCAAGAGGGAACGAGCGTGCTCGGAAAGAGGGTTAATAGATGCAAGGGGCGCTTTGTCCGAGAGGGGCCTCTTTAGCGGAAATGTGCAGCAGGTATTTTCGCCGCAGCAGTTCACTTTATTTGCAAACGTCCGTGTGCACCGGCGCGTGCATGTGCAGGCAAACGCCGTGCACCACTCTCTTCCGCAGCCTTAGTGCCGTCAGCACGGACGGAGACGCTAAGGCGGCTGCGGCGTTGGCCACCACGCTCCGAGAGTATTTCTTTCTGAGAACACCCTTGGCCCCGCTGTATCAAAGATGGTCGGAGGGTGACCCCCGCATGGCTGCCGTCGCTTCCAGCATTTCCGGAGTACGAGTTGTAAGGTGAGCTCTTGTTTTCTATCCCAAGGCTGTGACTTGGAAAGCGGTCAGACTTCTGCGCATGTCCAGTTTTCATCAAATGCCTTTCTGCGGAGTTATTACCGATGGAGGCACTTTCCGACCTCAACTCCTTCCTCACTTGGGATGGTTGCGATCGAAGTAACGCTTGTTTCGGGGTGGGTGAGGACATTGCTCACGAAACGATCGTACGGCCTGACGGTCTCATCCATTGGCCACAACAGCCGTGTCATGGAAAGAGACCAGTATCATGAAGGAGGTGGCTATTCCATGGGCTTCATTTCTGTGGCAGAGGTGGCTATTGTCACGCAAACTTGTGACCTCCGATCGCTTAAGTAGTGGATGGCAAACCGCCCAAAAGTTTCCGTCAAAATCACAAGAAATACGCGCATGCCTTGCCTACGGACGGAATTGTTGTCAATGAGCCAATGAAAAGCGTCTGCCGAGAAATCGAAAATGAAGCGGTAAGATATTTTACAGCTAGGACCGCTCCCGCGCGCCAGCAACACCTCACTGAATGTCTCCGCGCGCGTAAAGCATGCATACTTAAGCGCTAGCCATGGGAACGTGTGTACACCGATTTAACAGGCAAGACCCCGTGGAGTGCATATTTAGCTTCATATGTTCTTCGAACAACAACATTCCCCGAATAACGGGTATGCTTGGAAAGCTTCGAAGGACGTACGGCGACCTTCTTCTGAATGTCGGGAAGGGAGGCTTGGCGGCAACGGGAGCACTCGGGAATACCACGGTAAGATGAGATCTTTTCCCCGATCGTTCTGTTCCCGTACATCTCCCATCGGTACGTCGCGTTCGTGCATGCATGAGCTGTCAAAAGGCTCTTGTTACAACCAATGTACCCCTGCGCCTTGGACTCACCGTCTACTTTCACGTTTTCTCATTGTTTCCTTTTCAGGAGTGCGAAGAGTGGGCGAAGCTGCCGCTGGAGCTGCATTCGTTTCCGACGGTAGACGCCCTTGCTACGCGCGCAACAGAGGCCAATCTTAGGGCGATGGGTAAGCAGGCAGTAGTTGATGCTCTGTTCTTTGATGGTCTAGAGGCTGGTATCCTTGACTGTACTAAAGGTGCGATCGTGGTAGAGTGGTAGAGTGACTCACGGGGGCGGCTACTCCTTCAACCGCCAACAGCATCACTGCCGAGATTGCTCGTGTAGCCCCAATTTCTCTTTCGGTGCCATCTAACAGCTGTTTTCCGTCTGTGAATGGTGTGGATTTGAACGATCAGGATTCGGGTATCGCGCCAAGTACATCATAGATAGCGCGAAGCTGATTCATTCGAACGGCGGAGCTGGCTGGGCGTTGGATATGAGGAATAAGGACAGGGACGAAGTTCGCAGCCAGCTGGTGACTCTTTGTGGAGTGGGTCCGAAGGTAAGAAGTACACGCCTTGTTTCTGCCCCAACAGGTAAAGCTGGTGGATCACTCCACTTAGTAGTATTTGCGTGGCACATCGTTACGTGTTGTCACCGTTGCGATATGAATTGCAGCACCCGTATCACTCCTCTTCGTGTGATTCTTACAGCTATCTAGACATTCATACAGCATGGACGGCCTCTCCATCTCCGCCACGTTGGCCTTTTCCGAGAGAGGTTTCGCGGTTTTGGAGTGAGTGAAGGCTTGAGGAGCGGGATTCCTCATGTCGGGTTGACTGCACGCCGACGCTGTGGCCGTGAAGCGGTTTTGCTCTGCGATGTTGCTCCTTCACAGCAGGTTGCAGTACAGCAACAATTTAAGTTGCGGTGTCGGCCATGTCGGCAGGTCGCGGATTGCATCGCGCTCTTCTCGCTGGATCAGGCATCAACCATCCCCGTGGACGTCCACGTTTGGAGGATCGCTTGCCGTGACTACGACCCGACTTTGGTGGAGTGCAAGTGAGAAGCTCGGCGGTACCTCTTGTGTTCGTCATCGACCTTGGGGTATATCATTGTTTTCACGGGTCAGGCTTTGTGCAGCTTTGGGAGAGCGTTCGTCAGGCCGGAGGCAGTGACATGCCATCGTGTTGCCTGGAATCCCACCGAGCGCTACACCCCTTCGTCCATGCTAACATAAGTTGACTCGGTACAGCAGTTGCATCGAATCAACGTGCAACCGCAACGCAGTGTCAGCTGGCGCCTTGTTTGTCTTGGTTGTCTTTAGGCAACAAGGTACAGTGTGTGAGCTTTCCCGCGAAGGTGGTGTGCCGCTTCACGGTCACCAGGTAACATGACCGGCATTAGCTCCTACCCTACATCCTCATTCTACATTGGCAGGTCCTTGACGCCAACCGTGTACGCTCGTGTCGGAGATCTCTTCCGCGACCGTTTCGGAGATCGTGCGGGCTGGGCCCACAGCCTTCTCTTTGCCGCGGAGCTACCGGGCTTCAAGGTGAGTTCTCGGTGTCCTCGTGTTGTCAGCAAGAGCGCCCGATTTCGGTGCTATTGGTTCTCCCTGACTTACGACGCAACCTCACACACACCGCCCGCCCGTACGCAGCAGCACATGGTGGAAGGTTGCGCAAGTAATGCGGCTATTAATAGTAGGTCAAATTTGGGAGGTGTGATGCAGTGCTCATCGGCATGTCCTCTTTCGTGTCGGACTCCCAGGCAAAGCTTTCGCCAGAGATGCAGCGACAGATGGACGAGTTCAAACGCGAAGAGAGGGAGGCAAAGGCTGAGTCCAAAGCGGAGAAGGCGCGCCTGAAGGAGGACATGTCTTCCAAGTCCACTTCAAAGACAAAGGCAAAACAGTCCAAGCGAGGGGTAGCCATGCGCAAGCGTGGGCGAACTACTCGGTGATGGTTGCAAGCACTCGAAGCCCCTTCGCGTATTTGTACAATTGCATCGGACGTGTGGTGCCTACAGCAAAAAGTGTTGAGATGTGTAGATATAAGCAATGCCTGTTTTGCAATTCTTCATAATGTAGGTTCTAGAAGTGCATTACTTCGACAAGTACGAAGATGCCAACTCATTTTCAACATGATGCCAGCAACTGTTGGGCGCTCGAAGCAAATCATACTTACAAAACATGCAGTGTATTTTCCTCAGTTTCTTCAGCTATTTAGAGGCCTCGGTACTATTTGACCAACCAAAAGCCACACATGGTACACAGCAACTTATTCTCACGCGTACGTGTGCGAAATGCCACCACTTTAGGACGAGCGGGAGCGACCGGTAAAGTCTAAGCTCAAAATGAGCTCTCGCGTACTGTATCTGCATGTCACCAAAAAGAGCACGCTCAGCTTAGCATGTTTCTAATTTCTATGTTGCCCTTCTGGGTTATCCGAGAAGTGATGATATCTCTACTCCCTCTTGATGCCGATGTCGGTCCGCATAGCCTGGAGCCTCTCGACCAGCGGCGGGTGGCTGTAGTGGAAGGCAGAGTACCACGGGTCGGGGTTCTGCGCACGAGCAATCGGCAAACACAACATTTTGGCATATATGGCAAGAGTGTGGGGATCGAAAAAATGTGCCGTAGTTGCTCATTCAGGCAATGTAAATCCAGGCCGAGGGAGACCCGGGAAACACCAAAAATTCAACATCAAAATGCCCACCCAATCAAAAGCAAGCCATCAAAATGTTCAAACGGTGAATCGCCATTTTGTTTTTGTAACAACGGCGTGAGCGCCATGGACGAGCGGGTAGGAAGCCGCTGTTCTTTGC